AAAAAAACTTGGGACAAACAGTGAGATTTCGAGGGTAGGTAAAACTTATAAGCAGAAAGATGGTGAGTGAGATTTTTTAAAGAAACTCTTATAATATCAATTTATCGATATTCACATATAATTAACCATTGCATGGATATAATTAATTTTTAATCAATTTACTAGCATACGGATACACCACCCACATTCTTTGCCCACGCTTATACGTGAACATAGTGTTGGAATTATAGTCTGGACATTTATCATTCTTGAAACAAGACTAGCATGATGCAATGGCACCCCTGATACAATTAGTTACTCACGCTTGATTGGTTGCAGCTTCCGCGATACCTAAAAACCAATGATTTAATTAATTATCGCAAATAGGAAAATGTATTCTCAGAGCAGCACGCCCACTTGCATTTGACTGACTGCCAATTGTACGATTTTGTGACTGTTAGAGGTGATCGACTTGAAATTCATGAATGACGGAATATTAGAGAAAACCAAATTTCAAACCCTAATTCATTAAAACGAATCTAGCAACAGTGGACCTATACTAATATAATATACTATACTAATATCATACTCCATACCCTCGCCTGGATGCTCATTGTCCATTCTTTATCGAATGCATTCGCATCTCTACTGAATTTTCTTTCACAATTTCACTATCAAATCTGGCATCGGTACCTCCCCACAGAAAATAAGTGATTCAAAGACCTAAATGTTACATGGGTAAATGGGCGCGTATCTCCTTATAATTGTTGAACGCCATAACGAGGTAAAGAGTGTCACGTTGTATGTGATATCAAGAACTCGTGGTTAGCATTTCGTGGCTGATGTTTGTTACGCCTAAAATTGGCTTGCTAAACACGTCCATGAAACGAAATGATTGCTAACTCGATTCACTGCAAGTCAAAAGGGATATAGGGCTGAAATCATGTTTGCATTGATAATAACCAGAACACTCAAAAGGGCAAATATGTATGCGATATGTGATATTGGTTATTCTCGACTATTATGCGATGGTTGCAACTGTTCACGAATTTTAATAGATATGTTATTTTTCGAAGCAGATGCTTTGGACACACTTGCTACATGTAAAATGGCATGTTGATCTGCTGAAGCATTCATGAGACATTGCGCCACTTCCAACTCCCAGTCCAGGAATATTTATTTTAGCATTTAAAACTTGTTCATATGCATTCAGCCAGTGCAGCAAACTTTTAAAATCCTTATCACACAAAAATAAAAACATCAATATAATCAGCATAGGCGGATACATGTAATTACATTTGTCTAGGACCTGGAAGTTGAAGACCACGTGT